CCTTCACTAGCACTAAATTCACAGGAAACCTAAGGACTTAAGAGACAGAACAGAAACTATCAAGATTTCTAAGGCATCCTGCTGCATTCAGCTCTGCTCAGGAGAAGCTGCATCTAACCCAAAAGTGTTTTCAGAGTTTGGCAAGAGAGAATTTCCAAGCACTCAAAAAGGAGCTATTTATTACCTCCCCAAAATACAGGCAGCTATAGGCTTCAACAGAAGAAAAGGGGCCTAAACAAAAATTCTGGATCAGGATATCCTCCACGTTGGAGGAAGGCACATCTGGATGGGAGCACTGAGCTTATCTCATCCCTAAAAATACACTCCCCGTGCATCATCAGTGGGATGTTTACACTTGACACAAAACACACCAGCCATTTTATAGTTTGTCATACATACTCCTCCTTGCTGAAACCTCTGCAGATCCCTGCAATAAAAGGCTGAGTTTACCCCCAAAGGCAGAGCCCCACTGCAGAAGCTGTCAGCAGTGTGCACAGAGACGCTCATCAGCCAAAAGCCTCTGCTGGAGGAAGCCTCCACTAGAGGAGCTCCTGCAGCCTGAACCTCCCTTCACCCATGGAACAAAGCAAACTCTTTGTCCCATGGCCATCCAAAGCATGCCAGGACATAGGAGCAGCTCATGTGTACCAAGTCACATCAGGGAGAGCAAGTTTCACCCACCTTACCTCTTGACACAGAGAAGAAATTTTTCATAGTTTTATGGCACAGAGTGTTGATTAGAATGGTTTAAACGTGCTGGTTTAGATAAAAAGGTCTTAAAACCTGTGAGAATGCTCTAGCAGGATATGAGAAAGACTTCAAGGATGATGTTTTGACCATTCTTACTACAGCTAGCCAAAGGCTAATATGTGTACTGGGCAGGAAACACAGAGACAGGGTTCAGGTGGTGAATCCTCCTGCCAGCCATCTCACAGCAGCCTGTGCAGAGGTGGCCACGTACCCCAAAAGGGGCTTTGGGTGGCCTTCAGTTCTACAGACTAACTATGTAAATGTCAGACTGAACTGAACTTTGATGGCCCAGATGCTCCCATCAAAGGGAACACAGAAATCCAGTGAGTTAGGTGATCTGGAAAAAAAAATAGGTAGTATTTGAAAGGAAGGGTGAGTGGGTTTTCTAATTTCATAGAACATCTTGCTGACAAATCATACAACTGTGAGTTCCTCTCTGTTGTACACAGAATGGTTTCCCTAAACCCAAAAAACAACCCAAAAAGGGAACTACAGGGACTATTATCTATGTGGGGGAAGGAAGAGAAAGTAATATTCAACGCTATCAGAATCCATCAATGAGAACAAGAACAGATTTCTCCCTCCATCTGTGGCAGCACTGCCCTTAGGGGTGATTAGCAAGGGGTGTCTGAGAGCTCCTGTGCCCCTCTACGTGCCCAGAAGCCCAGGACTTACACTGCCATGCCACCAACAAACTCTTCTGTTGCCTGGCAGTAGATGGTGATGGCAACACGGGCATCCGCATCGAAGGTGAACTCCAGGCTGTACAGGACCTTCTGCTTCCCATTCTCCTCAGTAGGGCTGTCAACATCATCTTTATACCTGAAAGACAATGCCAGAGGATTAGAATGTGTATTTTTGTGAAGTAACACCAAGATCACTCTGGAGGTCAGGACAAGAGTACGTCAGTCTAGGTGTTGTAAGCAGTCAGGCACCACGGGCTTCCTTCTGGGGCTTCCCTGATTTCCAGTCTTGCCTCCAAGGATGGTTCTTCCAAGATTTGACTGAAGTTACTAAAGAGAACTATGTAAGGACAATGTTGAGGGATCTCACTCAGCCTTACAGTGCCAGGACACAGAGTGAGACAAGAAAGTGAACTCTGGCATGAAAAACCCTTTGGAGAAGATGCATTCCTTTTGAATCTTCACATCAGGCTCAGTATTTGGGCTAAACAAACCCTGCATGGGCCTGAGAAGTCTGAAGCCCAATTCTTTTAACTCTGCAAATGAAATGGTGCATGACAGGTAAAACACAAGGTTTCTGTTACACCAAGAGCTCCTGAAGTTCCACAAAAGGTACCTCAAGTGTCACACAGAAGAGGATATTCAGATCAGAAACTTCAAACACCTCGTGTACAAATCTTCAACCAAACCTTTGATGCTGCTAGTGACTGAAGTTTGCACACATGTATTGTATGAACAAAAATTAACACATTCAAGTGCATAAGAGATGCATGATAACAACATAAGAATAGTTTAGAAGTTATTTCAGTTAACATAAAGGTGAGTCATAACTTGGCTATGGGCTACTGTACAGCTGGATGCCACTGTGTGATCACCACTGCCCAGCACTACTCCTTCTCCCCACTGCTGGGAAAGGCAGGTAACAAAAGTGGTGGAGAAGGTGGATGAAGCAAGCTCCAGGGCAGCAAGCTATGGCCATGGACAAGCAGCAAGTTACAGTGTGCCACAAGTGGCTCAGGACACCAGCAGACAGAACCATAGAATTATAGACTGGGTTGGGTTGGAAGGGACCTGTAGAGGTCACTTAGTCCAACCCCCCTGCAGGGAGCAGGGACATCCCCAGCTAGGGCAGGGTGCTCAGGGCCCCATCCAAACTGACCTGGAATGGTTCCAGGGATGGGGCAGTGACCACCTCTCTGGGCAATCTGTATTGTCAGTGTCTCACCACCCTCAGCATCAAAAACTTTTTCCTTCTAACTAGTCTAAATCTGCTCTCTTTTAGCTTAAAAGCATTACCCCTTGTCCTGTCACAACAGGCCCCACTAACAAGATCATCCCCATCTTTCTTACAAGCCCCCTTTAAGTACTGAAAGTACCTGGTGCAAGCAGCCAACACAACCCACCACGAGGGGATCTCCTCTGCCTTGAAGCACAAAGTGACAGGGAGAATGAGAGGTGCACACCACCACTTGATTTACCACCCAGCTCCAGCCTCCCCCATCTACTGGTATCATCACCATTGCCACAAAGCCTGGGTCAAAGCCAGCAGCTCAACAACTCAGGAGAAGCTTGGCCCTGTCTCTGACTTCACACAGCCTCTCCCTTCCTTGATGGATGAACATGCTGCACTGTTGAAAACACTCAAAAATGGGCTAGGCAAACCTCCAGAACCCCATCTGAAAACTGTCAAGGGAATCCTTATTTACCCACTTCACTAAAGTGTAATAACTGCAGCCTAATGAAAAGGGTTCCAGGATGAGTTTTATTTAACATCACATTGAACAAGAATGGAATGTCCAGCTCTGTAGCAGGTGTAAAATAAAACTGAAAAGCAGTATAATCAAATACCTAACACAGATACTTGCACTAATGTAACCCTAATGATTCACTATAGCACTTGACATTCCTATCTGAAGTACCTGGAGAGCTCCAAACAAGATTTCTGCCAGAGGTTCACCTAGGTCAGAACAGCAAATCAAGCTGGAATACACCCATTGGGCTAGTACAAAAAAGACAAATCCCAAGAACTGAGAAGTGGCACATCTGCAGCAGCTTGGATACAACATACAGTACAGAGAAAGGTGGTATTTTCACACAGGCTAGTTGCAGTCAAAGAAAATAATCATGGCATTTCAAGGCTGCAAAAAAAGTAACACTGTGGCCAGTAGGGCAGGTCTGCCTAGAAAACATGGGGGTAGCCTCAAGGTCTTGTGCTGGACTGCCCAAGAACACAGACAGCAACAATCTGCTCACAAGTGCCATGTGTATCCAAAAAAGCAGCAGCAAAAGCTTCTGCAAATGGTTTCTTGCTGTGCTGCCCTCCATTGATAGGAGGCTGGCAGAGAAGGATCCAGGCTATGATATGCTTCCTCCAGAAGAAGTAGGGAGAACCAGCACCCTTCCCAGGCAAGCACTGATGAAGGCTCCTTCATAGCTGGGTATTTGCTGCATACAGAGGGATGTATTAAAATAGAAATGCCTGGCACATGCACGAGTTAGAGACAGACAACACAGATCTAGGTACCTGTAACAGCCCCGAGTAACAAGCTGGGAGACCTGGGAGTGCAAAGCAGATCACACAAAAGCAACATGAGGTTAGTAAAACCACTGCCTGTTTTGTCTTCTCAGTGTGGTCACTAAAAACACACAGGTTTCTCCATCACCCTCCTGCTCCCAGCTTCACCCCTGCACCTCCCTGCCAGCACTATGAATGTGATTCCAGCCTTTCAAGAAGAAAAGACAAGAATAGATCTGTTGCCCTGGGAAACCACTGAGGGGCCACTACCAACTGCAGTGCCTGAAGAGAAGGTTTCTGCAGGATGCATCTGCTGGGAAGTTGGAGAGGTAGAGCCCTGTCTGCCTGGAAGAGCATCCCTTGAGCTGGGAGCAAGGCACACGTGCTTCAATGTCCCAGCAATGCTCTGTACACCTTCTCTTGCTGCAACATGCCTGGTGCTGGAGGTTAAGGAAACCATCAGGCACACAGCAAGGGGTTCAGGGGAGAAAAGACTGCAGAAGCAGCTATGCCAGCTGGTAGATGCACCAAGGAACAAGCAAGGACTGCTTTGGTGCATACTCTGCAAGGCAGAGACATCACATAGTTCCACCTTAAGGTGCAGGAACAGTGGGATGTAGCTCCAGGGGAGTAACAAGACAAAGTCACACATTTTGCATTCCTTCTTTCTTTGCAAGGGATGTGGCAGACAAGGAAGTGGTTCAGGAGCATTTCAGGTGGTTCAAGAGCTCTTCAGTGTCCATTTAGTCAAGCCCTACAGACAGTGTTGGTGTGAGGTGGCCACAGATGCATGCACAAGCTGAGTGACTTGGCTAGGTGTGCCTCCTGGGCATGCACACAGGTTAATCACACAGCCTTCCCAACCACGTGTAGAGAGCAGAAGAGACTGACCACCTTGGAGAACAAAGAGCTGATCCAACCTTAGGATGGAAAAGGCAAAGCAGGATGACCAAGGGAGCTGAGGCCACCTGGTCTGACATGTCTTCTGGATAAAACAATGGAAATGCTCCAACTTTTTGTTTGTCTGTTAAAGAATTAAAAAATAAAACAAACATCATTAACAACAGCCATGACAATTTTATAGAAATAGGTTGAGTCGAACCTGATTTCATCCTTTGAGGAGATTAAAAAGTTTGACCAACAACTCAGCAGGCATGCAGGTTAAAAGCATTGCTTGACTTTATATTGTGAGATGTGGATTACAACAGCGTTGGAGCAGGCATGAAATGGGGTAAGAACCAGCTGCCATCCCTCCAGCACTGACTTTCACTGGGGGAAATCATCACCAAATGGAGGCTTTCCTGCCTGGGCTTTCTGCAGAGACCTGCACACAGTTTAACAGCACCCAGGGTGTGCAGAGCAGGCAGTCCCAGCACCCTCACCATCCCCACCTCCACTGCAGGGGGAACAGCTCCAAGGATCAAGGCCAGCCCTGCTGTGCTGGAGAGGGAAGAGAAGGGATGTCCTTTCTCTCTCCCACAGCAACTCACCAGTCTCCCCTCGATCCCTGTCATCCCTCTCAGGCCCTTATCCAAAATACTCCGTGGCCCCACTACTCTCTATGACATTGCTGCTGCTTCAGACACATTCCCAAACACTACAGTTGCTGATTCCTTCCACGTTTTTGTTCTGTGATGCTACCTGAAGCCCACAGCCCACACTGAAGAGTCCGTCCCAGGATGGAACTCTTCCATGAAGCACGTTGCCCTGTGAGCTGATCTTCCTTCTGCAGTGGGAAGTGCTTTCAAGGTGAGAGTAAACAGCCAGTACCACCCCATCAGGTACTCCAGCTCTGAAATAAAGCTTCCAACCCAGGGCCAAAAGAGGGACACAAGACAGACATGACCCAATCTTTTTCTGTTAGTGGTTAACAGCAAAACTCATGCTACTCTCCCTCTGAGGTTCACAGAGTTTTTCCCTGCTAGAAATGAAGCACTCACGTGAGGTGTCAAAGACTGAGAACTTCAACTCCAATAGCCACAGGTTTATTGCTTCTCCCCAAAGCTGCTGTAAGTACTCAGGATTTGGCAAACTCAGAATTTTGTCTGGTTAGGGATTGGCAGGAAGCCCAGACTGAACATTTCTTCCTATTCCTCCATAAAGCCCTACACTCCAAAGTATGGATCAACACCCTCTCCAGAGGTGAACAATGAATTTTCAATTAAACCCATGGAAAACCAAAAATCTTGTGAAGACTTTACCATCAGAACCTAGACACCCAGCTCAGTATGATTTTATTTAGGGGAGGTGGTAAATTAAATTTAACTACTTCTGGAAAGAATGTGCAAGCCTCCACCACTGGCTGCAAATAAGCCAAGCTGGAGAGGGCACAAAGTGTCTTTAAGTGCACAGAGGAAGAAAGGAAAAGCCTCAAGTCCAGAACAGCAGAAAAGCAGGAGACAGAATGTGCCCTTGGGGACTAGCAATTAACATCTCATTTTTTGTCTACACCAGTAGAAACTTAAATAAGAGTAATGGTGGTGGTGGTGTTGTCACTAGCACAGCAGCAGCACCACAAGAGCCTGTGAGACAGAAAAAGAACTGATGGTACCAGGAATTAAGATGGGTACAAATGTAGACACTGTCAGGGTGCACAGACACTACATTTCAAATAGCCCAGAGCTGCAGCTCCCTTCTGGGGCACAGGACGTGCAACCACAGAAAGCAGAATGACAGAACTGTATGTACTAAACCCCCCCAGCTCCTCCACTCACAGCAAGGCCTCTCCCAGTGGAAAAGCCACTTCCCATTTGGCTTCTGAGAGATGTTACAGTTTATATGGATGTCTGCAAGGAGAGCAAAATACCCTTTCCACAGCAAGTGTGGGAGGAAAGCAAGACTCTCCTAGAGAAGCACTGCAACCTCCAGCTGAAGCAGCCAGCCAGCATTCAGAGCTGTTTACCAACAGGTACTTTTTCAGAAGTTCTTCTCCCTTTTCCTGTTCAATCAGTTTGGAAACCACAGGTATTGCTAGTTTTAAAAAAAAACAAAAACCAACAACAAAACAAACAACAACAAAAAAAAATAAACAAAACCCCAACCTCCAGTTTTCACATAAAAACAGAGGGGTTTGTGTGGTTATGCCTCAAATCACTCACGTTACGCCACGCTCTCGGAACCACCTTGGCTGGGAGTTGAAGCTGGCCCCCAGCCAGCCCTGCACACCCAGGATTCAGAGTGACTCAAGATCTTTGAGCAATGCTCTGCCTGGACATCTGCCCAGCTGCTCAGACCAAAACAAAGCCCTGTGTGCTGGGCCCCAGAGTTCCAGCCAGCTGTTTCAAAGAGGGCAGCTGCAGGTCCAAGTGTTGGCCATCGTGTTTAATCCAGCTAGAGCTGCTCTAGGTCTCAGTGCAGAGCAGTGAAAGGCCACAGATCTCCAGGATTACCCAGACCTCCTTCCTCTACACGTGAGACACGAGCCATCCAAGCAAATGTGTAATGCTAGGATCAAACTTTATCTTGGCAGCAGGAGAAACCTGAGGGAAGTTTCACTCAAGACCAATCAGTCTTCCCAGCCTGGGACTTGCACCAGAATCAGCTACTTTCTGTCTTCTCCTTGCACAAGAATGCAGAAAGGAATCTGTCTGTAGGTTTTATTGGCTTGACTAAGATCTTCTGTTCATGTTAATGACTTCATGCTTTTGTTTACCACTCCAGTCTGTCCTGTAGAGACAGATACATCACTAGTCCTGTTTGGAAACACAGATTGCTCAAGTCTAGGGATAAGGAGCATATAAACCACTTGAAAGCTCTGGCCACAAGGGAACACAGAAACCTCTGGACAAGTCTAGCAATAAGGATCTGGAATCCAGGTCTTTCTCCAAAACCTTATCAAATACAGCTTGGCTCTGGATGGCAGATGGCTGGGTTGAATAAAACAAAAGGTTCAGGCAATATCCGTACCTCACAAGTCGGAGAGAGTCTTTGCGGATATTCACCAAACTTCTCAGGGTCTTCACTGGCTCATGTGGGGCTGGAGTTACATAAGGAAACTGGAACAAAAAGGCAAATAATTCTCCTATTATTATACTATAAAAGGTAGCAGCATGCTACTTAGCATGCAATTTACCCAAACTAAGAAACATCCACTTTTAAGGGTACTCGGTACAGCAGCCACCAGGAAGAGTAATGGAGAATTCTATTTATAGCTAAATCAAGCATGTTTCAGGGTGAAAATCCTGCTCTGGCCCAGCAGTAGCTCATGTTGGGTGTACACAATTCAAGAAAGGGTATTTTCACAAGCTCTTTTGCTGCACCCCGAGTTCTCAGTCTGGAAAACTTTGGCCTCACAAGCTTTTATTTCCACTAAAGAAACCACCTTCAGCCTGAGCAGTAGAAATGCAGCTCTTTCATGTGTGTTACAGCATGCAAACAGTGACTTGACTGCTAATCAGCATGCTGAAGCCCTGGATTACTGGGGGAAGCTCTTTTTACTCTGAAACAATGGGGCAAATGTTCTGGAAAAGAAAAGAGACCCGAATAGGGAGCCTCATTCTATTCTACAGTCAAGAGACCTTCTCTCATAGATTGTCCTCTAAATAAAGGACAATAAATTTTCAGCCTGTAATTCTCCTTAACAGTCACAGAAGCTCCAGCAAGAAATTCAAAGGGAACTGCACACAGTGGCAACCACAACCTGTACAGCTGCAGACCTGCCTGCTAGACCTCCCATCTGCTCAGCAAAGCCTGAAGCTGAAGCATCTACTCACACAGCTGCCAAGTTTGGTGGGTGCTCAGAGTGGAGACACAGCCGTGCTCCATGTCAGAGCAACAGCTCAACACAAAGGTACAAAGCTACAGGACAGGCTTCAGGCAGAAGGTTCCTCTGGGTGTATCCAAAATAGTGCCACCAGGCAGCCTGATGAGATTTGAGGTCTTTCACACACACATGTCTATAAGCTGGCCTGCAGTGGTGTAGAGAGAGTGACTGGCATGGAGCTGAAGTACCAGGGACCACCAATAGACCTGTTGCCTTCAAAATGCAGAGTCTGCTGAAGAGGCAGCCACATTCTGCTGCAGCTGAACCCCAGGGCAGCTCCAGGGGACCCTTTAGTGTTGTCCCCTCAAGCCACAGAAATGTACTGGTGAGGCAGTGGCCAGAGCCTGAGGGAACACGTGCCCTTTCCTGACCTGTGCCACAGCCACGGGCAGCAGAGAACTCATGGGGCAGCAGCAGCTACCAACTGCTTGGTGCTGTGGTTGGCAGCACTGCCCTACCCAGAGCAGTCAAGACCTCAGTTACTCCAGAGCAAGAGCCTGGCCCACACCCAGAAAGCAGTTTTGCTGTTCTGCATTCAAGTGTTTTTTTTCCTTGAAGATTAATCAGAGCTGCCAAAGGGCATTAACTTTCCACAGGCAAACTACATACCACGGCAGCCTCCCTCTCTTAAACCCATTTGGCAAACACCCCACTGTGTTAGTGGTGTTCTCACCCACCCCTCTGAAGAAATGATGAAATTCAGTGCTGGGATGTCTACAAGGAAACCCAGGCTGAGACATGCAGGCAGTTTAACTCTGCCAGGACAATCCCTACAGCCACAGGCCCGTGGGATCTTCAGCCAACAGCTGCATCTTCTGCTCTTCTTGGAGCCCTGTGCAGCTGCTTGTCACAGAGCAGAAGAGGAGCAGTTGGGTTTTAACCCCTGTCCTGCACAGGCACGTGGTGAGCATCCCCACATTCACACAGCACTGTTACATCCAGAACAACTTCCACCTCCAGCCCCTCCTTCCCAAATCTGTTGCTCATCTGCACTTCCTGATCTAACAAGGGCTTTCCAGACTCTCCTACTCTGCAGAGTCCTGTTCACTAACTGTGGTGCTCAGACCAGCGGAGCAGCCCGAGGACAACTCAGGGAGCAGAAGGTGCTTGTCACCAGGCCATTCAAACACCCAGTCATCCTGCCTCAGCTCCCCCACCTGTAAACCAGGGGTGGTGCTGACCTGCCTCCAGAGCACTACCACCATCAATGAACTGGTAGTCACATAACACCTGCATAAAATCCCTATCTGTCCCCCACAACAGCACTGGTCCCTGCTCACAGAGACACCTGAGAACCCAGAAATGCCTTCATGTTCCAGCTGGGAAGACTAAAGGAGAGGCTTTCCACATAGCCCACCTAGGCTACCAAGCAAACAAAACCCAACAAGCAGCAGGATCTGTCTTAACACTGCTCTGTGCTCAGTCAGGCCACTCGTTTACACTGAGAACAACACACACATGCTGGCTGGAATCCACCTGACATGCCCAGGAGCCTTGTGAAGTTCAAGCCCTGTGAGTGATCCACAGCCTTCTCCTCTCTGCAGCACCCTTTGCAGTCACTCAGGCAGAATTAGTCCAAAAATCTGTACTCCCAAGGCTTCTTCACCCAGTATTTCTTCCTTCTGCCTTCAGGGAAAACAAGTCTAGAAGGTGAAGACTTCTTAGAAAAACTCTTGCTTGCTTCTGAACAGCAGCTGGCAAGCTGGGATGTGGGAGGGGGAAACACTCTTGTACCTCCCACTGGAATCCCACTCCCCAGGCAGCAAGGGTCTCTTAGGCTGGTGCTATCATCCTCTACAAGCCCCACACGAGGTTCTCCAAAACAGGCAGAAACCAAAAGGGTAAAACAGCACATAGGAACTTGCCTGAACAGGTCTGTTCCCGAGGAAGTTCAGATCCATGTTCTCACCAAAAAGGTAGCCCTCGGGGTGAGGGGTGTCAAACTTCTCACCTCCCATAAAGAAGTGACTTGCAAAGTAGTTTCCTAGAAAAAAAAAAACAACAAAAACAAAGAACAAACAAGGGAATTAAAAAAGAAAAAAAAAACAAAAACAAAGCACAAACAAGGGAATTAAAAAAAAAAAAGAAAAAAAAACAACTCTAAATGAGTGCTTCCCAGAGAACAGCTGGTCTGTGCAGTTTTTAATTCACAAGTATAAAAGAGCACAAGACATAGAAAATACTTGTTGGTTCACTCCTTCCCCATACTACTGACAGCCACTGCCAACAGCAGAAGCAAGGGGGAAAAAAGACCTCACATCATTACAGTGGAGAGGATTCCATTTTAGCTTCTCCAGAGGGACAGGGAGCAGTAAGAGCCAGCTCTTTCTACTATTGCTGAATTCTGATGAATTCTTCCTCTTTTCTCCACCTTCCAGTGTGAAACCCAGTCCCCCAAACACCATCGACCTGCTCAGAGAAGGATGAGGCTGCAAAAGCCACTGCAAAGCCCTGCAGAGCCAGAGGAGCTCCCACTGGGCAACGTTTGCCTTCCCTCCCCTCTTTCACTCCCATACCCCAGGGTAAGAACCACACAGAACCTTTACTGTGAGCACTAGACACCTTGATGCTGAATTTAACTCAGATATGAACTTCACAGAGTTACAATTTCAGAGGAATAAATACCAGAAGAGAACTAAAATAAAAGGCTCCACCTAAGCCACTTCCCTTGAAGTTTCAGAGTGGGGGTTCCTCAAGTGTGTGAGGAAAGGACTGAGCCAAATGTACATTTGCTTCCCTACGTGCAAAGCACAGACAGCATAAAATTTGTTTTAAAATGAGTCATTACAGCAGCAGTAACTAATCATCAGAGGCATTGACAGAAGGATTTGCAGTCCCTCTAGCTAGGAGCAAGGATGATTTACTCTGAAATGGAAGGGTTTTCATGAATGGCTCCAGTTTTTCCATTAAGGCTTTTTTTTTTCCTTTATGCTTCATGAAAGACTTTTCTTGCTCTGCACAGATGGTTGTGCTTTAATGGCCACGGCAGCTACTGCTGAGCTCAGCTGACAAGCATCCACCAGATGTTTATGCTACAGAAACACGTCCTTCTTTCCAGATACAACAACCAGCTTCAGCACAGGTCCAGAATCTACCTCCAATGTCCTACAGCAGCAGCACTGTGACAAAATGTAGATGCTGCAGATGACAGGCAACCTTTGCCCTCCCCTCTCAGAAGCAACAGATTGAAAAGCTGACCTGTGTATAACCTCCCAGCACAGCAAGCTGGGTACAGCCCCTTCACCTGAGATATGCTGCAGCTTTCTACCCTTATCCCAAGGTTCAGCAAAGCATGATGAGCACTAGGGTTCAGGAATGGATTTTGCCTTTTACACGGTGAGGTAGGGCTGTGTTTTGGAGCCTTTTGTCTCATTAAGTGTGAAGACAAAGCTTGTGCAGGGTGTCTCAGCACCACGGCAGCCGATTAGCTGGGATCAGTCAGACAGATCCCTCCTATCCCATCAATCAGACACCCTGGGGCTCCACTCACCTCAGCAAACCTGTATTCCCCAAATTCACAGCAGAGCTACTCTCGTGGAAGGAGCTCTGCCTCCCACACGCAGAGGACTCCTGGCCACCACTGGAACCCCACTGATCTAACTGGAAGCCACAGCTTCAATTCTGCCTTCAGACTGAAGGCTCCCTTCACCTGCCTGCTAAGTCACCTCCTGCAACAGGAAGGTGATTTCTTTTTTTCCCTAGAGGCACTTCCTTCACAAATAAACAAGAAACTAGTCAGTGCCAGTCACAGAGAGCACGAGGAAAAGAACTCTGGTGAGCAGAACACCCCTGGGCTCTGCCAGTGCTGCTACAGATACAAAAGCTGCCACGTCCAAGTTCTCAACAGCAAAATGAGCAAACAGGGATGGCAGCAAACTGTCTTCCCAAATTTATAACACAGCTTTTTAGCTGCTAAAAAAAGATACTCTACTGCAAGCTTTCAGAAACCAGTTGCTACAACAACACACAAAGCTCAGAGCTCTCAAGGTAAGACCAAAGTTATGCATCATTCCTCTCAACCACCGTCACCAGCAACTCCCAGTTTGCCAAGCTGCAGACAAAAATGCTTTAAGAAAGAACTTTGGAAAATGTCACACCAAGGACTAAAACGACCAAGAAACTTCAAAGAGGAAAAACTGAGGTATCCTCTTTCCCAGTCCCCACGACACCCCCCCCATCTAGCACAAGACTGGTAGGATTTCTAGTGCCTCTAAAAGCCTTGTATACATTTTCTCTGCATTAAAATCCTGCTGCAGCTCCACCTCTAGGTTCTGTTTCCAACTCCCCTACAAAGACAGCTTTAGGATTTTAGCCACACCTCTTGAACCCTGTTCCCACATGTCCCCCCAGCCTACAAACCAATCATCATCTACCTTATGCAGGCCAGCTCTACACAGAGCTCTGTAGCTATGGACACCAGGAGGAATCTCAGCACCATCTTCTTTGGCAGGAAAAAAGAAAACCAAAAAGAAAAAAAAAATCTTTGGATTAACCCTCCACAGAACTGCTACGAACAAAAATCCTCTAGGAAAATACAGAGACATGCTTACAAGGAAAGGATTATCCACAAATAAATAAAGACAGAATATGATTGAAAAAGCCAGAGCAAAGGAAAACTGCAGCTTTCCTTCCCCAGAGTAAATCAGCACAGAACACAGGGGACAGTAGACAAAAGACAGTCAGGACACGTGGATGAAGTAGTCACCAGGTAGATGAAACACAAGCAGTGGTTGTAAGAGAATTTATGTGGTGGAAATCCTTACAGTGGCTGGAAAAACACCACTGGGACACCCAGAATGGCCAAATCCAACACATCAGTTTGTCCCATGCCAAAGAAAAGAGGGACCCAAGGCTCCTCTGAGGCATCAAGTGACACAAAACTACTTAACATTTATGGTGCTGGGGTTTTATTACCATAAATGCACCAGCATTGAGCAACAGACACCTTCCACCACAGCATGCTGAGGGACACACTGACAGCCTGAGCCTGAACCAGCACCACGGCTGGATGAGGCCACCTCGACTCCCTCAGCACCCATCCCTGCTGGGCCACCAAAAGGATGGCTGGGGATGAAGGAAAGGGAATGCTCCAGTCCATGGGAAGTGGTGGTGGCCATCACCAGCAGGGTTGGGCTGAATCCCCCCCCAGAACTGCAGCAGGAGTAATGGGAGACAGTTAGGAATGAAAGGGTGAGGAATGAAAGCTACAGGTGAAATACAGGAACACACTTCTGCCCTGACACTGTCCCAGGACACGTGGCTTACAAGATAAGAATGAGGTGATGAACTGGGTCCAGCTCTGGATATTCTTCTCCTGTGGAAAACTGCTCTTTCTTTGATTAAAGCCTCATTCCCAAAGTAATCTGCCTCCTTTACCTCCTCCCAAAAATATCCAGGGAATTCTCTTTCAAGGGCCTACTCCAGGGGAGAAAAGCCATCTCAAGGGCATGTGCTCCCTGCCCTGCTCTGGAACGAGAGAGGAGCTGAGGAAGATTAAAGCATCATTCCCAAACAAGAAAGCAGTTCAGCTGCAGAGAGGAGTAATCTGCCTCCTTTACCTCCTCCCAAAAATATCCAGGGAATTCTCTTTCAAGGGCCTACTCCAGGGGAGAAAAGCCATCTCAAGGGCATGTGCTCCCTGCCCTGCTCTGGAACGAGAGAGGAGCTGAGGAAGGAGCTGCAGAACACCCTGGTGCATTGCTCACTGGTTGCTAAAGCAATAGAGGCAACATGAGATTACATGCAAGAACATGGTTCCTTTTACTGCTTCCAGCACAGAAGCACTGTGAAGATCATGACTGTTCCTTGCAGTTACCCGTTTTTAGCCCGTTTCATGGTGGCACTAATCCTTCTGGACAAACTCAGCCCTTCTCCAGCCCCTTTCCAGCTGGTCAGGCAGCCACAATGCCAGCACAGCCTCCAGAAAGCAAGCAAGAAAGGTTAAAAGGAACCAGTGAAGAGGGATCAGAGAAGGGAATCGGGTGTCACCTTATAGCTATTGAGCAGCCTCAGCCCCTCAGAGGCAGGAGGGGAAACACAGATGAGCCACACCCAGAGCCCTGGAAGAATGGGCAGGGCGTTTTCAGAGGGTTTTTAACTCCACAACTGCATACCCGTGACAGGAAAGCTGTTAAACGATCTGTGGATGCCTCATTAGGGACTCTGGCTCATAAGGATTCCACAACAACCTCCTCAATCCACCACAGAGCAGGGGAGTGACCCAGCAACAACCACCTCGAGAGCCAGTGAGGGAGATGGGAACATGGGCGGCTGTGACTCAACAAGGTGCTGTCACTGGGTACCACCTGGTAAAGTGACTGTGCTCCTTCCCACAGCCAGAACACCTGTATTCCGTGGTGTATTCCTCACACAACACATCCTCCTCATGAGGTGGGGTGTTTGCTCCAGGACACAAACCCCACGTCCTTCGAACCGCTGCCCAGCTCGTCCAGACGCTCGTGGCAAGTCGAGAGCTGCTCAAAACAGGGGCATGGAGGGGAAGGACCCAAAAGGTGACAGGCAGCCCTGGGTGGATGGGGAACCTCAGGAACAATCTCTCACATCTTCCAGCCTTTCAGGGGCGAGCAGCCAGGAGACTGCCCGAGTCTGGCTGACACTCCAGCCAGCACACCTAACGCAGCCAAGGGGAAAGTGGCTTCTTCCAGGGCCAAGGGGGAACTGCCTTCTTCCAGGCAGGCAGGCAGCAGCAAGTCAGAAATCATTAGCAACCATTTAGCTTGTGAACTTTCTGTACTACTTCCAGCTTGCCTCCTGAAATCAAATGAAACCACACATGCTCACTCCCAGTTGTCTCCACTGTCAGGTTTTGTACCAGTCAGCACCAATCTTCCCAGTCCCAGGACAAACACACTCAGGACTGTAGGACCAGAAGGCACAGTGTCCTTCTGACCAGGCTCCACCTGAAGAAGAGGGGCAGGCTGCCATCCTAACAGCCCTTGTTGTCCTGCTGTTTAGTCA